GCCGCCGCCGCCGCCGCTGCTTGCCGCGCCCGCCCGCCTGCCGCCGCTCGCCGCGCCGCGCACCCGAACGTGGCCGCGCCGGGCACCGCCCCCTGCTGATTGATGGGCGGTCCCGCCAATCGCTGAGAGGCGGGGGCGGGATCTCGAGTGAGCACGCCCCCTCCGCGAGCGGCGGGCGGGCGGCCTCCCGCGGTGGAGAGGGAGGAGGGGAGAGCGCGGCGCCGCGCGGTCCTAGCGCCGCGCTGCGGGCGGGCAAGCACGGTGGGGCGGAGGGGAGCACTGCGCCTTTAAGGTGCCGAGCGGCCGCGCGCTGAGCGCTCCGATTGGGCAGCGCCGCGGGGAGAGCGGAAGGGGGGCCTTGAAACCGCCCGCCGGGCTGCGCGGGGGGGCGCGGCGGGCGGGCGCTGCCTCAGGACGCGGTGCTCGGGCGGGACCCCCCCCCCGCCTCGGGGAGCGTGGAACCCGGTGCGGGGCTCCTCGGGGGGAGCCGCCGGCATCGCACGCTGGAGGTGCGCCCAAGTACCGTGTGAGCGCTCGTGGTTACCGCGGCATTAAGTCGGGGGGTCCCGAGGGGTCACCCCCCAAAAACTTTCTGATCTAGCAGCGTGCAGTGACACAATGAAGCCCCCCCCCAAAAAATAAGGGAGCGGGCCCCTAAGCGGGGTGCTGCGGGGACTCGTGGCCTGAGCTGCGCTCCCCGCCTTGTCCCACCTGGAGCCCTGCGGAGCTCCTCGGCCCGGCGCTGAGCGCTGCGCTGTGTGATCACTGCCCTGCGCGGCCCCGCACCGAGCTCCGCTCCCGCACCGCCTCCGGCTGCAGTTTCCACGGGAACAGATGTTGGAGCGGCGCAAAAAAACAGGGCTTCACAAAGCTCTTCCCACCCCGGCCTCACCTCTGCCACCGCTGCGCTTTGCCAAAGGGACCGGCAAAAAAACAGTGGGGACGGAGGGCTGCCGAGTAATGAAACGCTAACGGTTCAGACGCGGGCGCTGAGCAGCGCGGCCGGAGCGGGGCCATCTGTGGGAGCTGTGGGCTGCAGGAGGAACGGCAGCGCCAGGCAGAGCTGCTGCCGTGGGAACACTCGTGGCCATCCGGAGCTGTGCGGGCAGGGCCCGGCTCGCTTGGAAAGAGCTGACCGCAGCGCAGATCGGAAAGTGTCAGGCTGCGAGCCGTCGGGTCCTGCGTGGAAGGAGCGAGCGGAGCCTGGCTTTGTGCCGCGCGCTCCTGCGGCAAGGCCGGGCTGAGCATCGGGTCACGGCGAGGCACAGACCTCATGCCTCCAGAGCCTTCGCAGCCCGCTGCTCCTCTGCTGTTCTTATGGGCTGGGCGGTTACCGGGAGCCTCTCGTATTTACACGAGGGTAAAGAGGAGCTAAATATCCCCGTTAAAAATAATACCCTCGTATTCAGCACATTTTGCACGGAGGAGGAAAATGCTGGTGTCCCCAGGGTGATCTGTGCTGTGCTCTTGGCCAGGAACAAATGAAATAAAGGGCCTTTCTGTGCCTGCACCATCGTCCCTTCCCTGCCCCACACAGATAAAGTGGAATGGCCGCAGCTGCTTCTCTGCTCCTCACATTTTGCAGCACATCAAGCTCTACATTCACTCCTCATCAAGAGTTTATTTCCCTTTAACTCATTGATCGTCTGAGATACTGAGCAGACAAAAACCAGTTCCCTTCTTTCTCCTGCCCCTCAGGTCACTGGGGATGAGAAATTCAATAGGAGTTGGGATCTGCCCCTCCTTTGATGCATCCCAAAGGTCGGTCTGCAGGTACCCAGCCTGGAGAGGAGGTCAGGGAGGAGGTTCCCAGCATGGGGACAGCAGAGGATGGATGGGGACAGGCGTCTTCCCGGTGCTGCCCCTGCCTCAGCTTCTCCACCATCCCCCGGACCAGCTCTGTTTCTCAGCTGTTGCTAGGGGAGATGGAGAGCAGTTGATTGAAAGCTTCCTGCAAGTGGCACCAAGTCTAAATATTGCCATTCCTATGCAAGCGAACCCAGGAGCATGACTGCAGGACAGTGAGGGTGGAATTCCCATCCTGTGTGAACTCCACCGCTCCCTGCAGCCCCAGCCTTGTGTCTCCCACCACCCGATGGTGAAACGATTTGAGCAAATTATAAGACAGTGCTTTGGACCAACTTAGCTCAAGATCAGAAGGGAGGCTAATTTCATATCTTCACCACCGCAGAAGGCAATTAAATGGCTCTGCAAAGTTTGAACACAGGTTAGGACAAGAAATTTTATAATCAGAAATCCCAACACCTGCGGCCAGCAGCACAGTCTGCTCGAGTCATGGGAGGACGTTGCGAGCCTCCTGAGTGCTCCCAGGGCTTGGAGAGGTAATGTCCTCGGCTCAGGTTTCTCTCTGCTGGGTTTTTCTTGGATTTCTGGCAGTGAAGGCACCAGAATTCATTAAAAACTCAAACCAATAACCACCTGCCTGAAGCTCTCCTGCGTGACGGCTCACAGAGCTGGGTGCCTCCCTCTCTGCATCCCGCAGTACCTGCCAGGCAGGCACCGAAAGGGCCCCGCTCTGCTCAGCTCCAAGGCAGGAGAAAATGCTGCTGGGCAACCAAGGGGCCAAAGGCAGCAGCCCCTGGCACAGCAAGGGTGAGGTGTGAGTGCTGCCGCAGGCTGAGCCCAGGCTGGGTGGGATCCCCGTGGGCAGGCTGCTGTGGGCAGGGATGCGCAGCAGGACGGGCAGGTTTGGGAGGGAGTAGCTGTGGGAAGAGTGGCCTCACCATGATGCATATTAACGCTCCGCGGGCTTTAATTGCAGTGGGACCTATGGCACGGAGCCATTAGCGTGCAATGTGGAGGAACACGTATTTTTGGGAGCCCTGCCTGTTTTGTGGCCTTGTGGTGGGGGGAGGCGGTGGGATGCAGGGAGAGGTGCCTCGTCCCCCCAGGAGTGCTGCTGGAGGTGCAGCTCCTTCCTCAAGGCCCTGAATCATCCCCGCTGCCATCTGCTGCACCCTCGCTCTTCCCTGCAGATGTCCTTCTTCCTTCCCCAGAAGGAGATGAGAACTGAGGATGAGGTGCCAAATGCAACTTCAAACAGCATCTAATAAAACACGGGATTAATTTCTTCTGACTGCTGTTCAATGGCTCTGATTAAGCAGAGCAGAATTTAATTAGCTTGTTTGGACTGCCTCTAAACCTGTGCCAAAGGTGGGGGAGCCTCAGTGTCCGGGTCCCCAGCATCCATGAGCTGCTGGGGTTAGCCTGTGCTGCTCCACTGAGTAGAGCCTGTTGCATACCCAGCCTGGTTGGCAGCAGTTTTGGGATCCCCAGAACCTCCATCATCTCTGCAAGCCCCCCTGCAGCCAGGATGGGGGCTGTTTGCTGGACGTGCTGCTGGTGGCAATGGGGATGGGAACATGGAGCCTCTCGGCATTAACCAAACTCATCCTGCTGAGTCCTTGAGTTCAAGTAACCCTGTTCTCTCCCTGATTTACTACGACTTGCTGGCTCCTCTTCTCTCCCTCCTCCTGTCTCCTTTAACCCATTTCATTATCTATGCTAGCTTAGGCTTGCCTACGTGGGAACATCACACTGAGGTTATTGCAAAATAGATGGGCTGTGAATGCAAAATGCAGCAGCCCTCCCCAGCAGCACTGACTCCCTCCCTGCCATACCTGTGCTCAGCACGCTGAAGGACCCAGGCTCCCCGGCTCCCCCGCTGCTCCTGGGGTCTGAGGCTGCAGCTTCCCCTCCGTGCAGACAAGCACACACAGAAGGCGTGCATTTCCCTTCCAGCAATGTGTTGCAATTAAGCATCCCCTCCCTACGCAACCCAGCGCCCAGGCAGGTAACTCCAGGCCAGAGCCACAGCCCCAAACTGCTCATTTTTAAGCTCTTTATGGTGTATTTAGTTTTCCATATAAAAAAGCAAAGAGGGCAGGGAAGATCTGCTGGCTGAGGCGAGGAAGGGACCCAGCAGCTCCTTTTCTCCCTGCAGACGAGGCTTTATAAGCTCTGTAGAGTCACCCCAGCACTGCTCCTCACCCTGGGGCCGTATCACTCCCTGCTCCCTTATCAGCCACCTGCGGGTACCCCCGCCCCATACGGGGCCCTGGGTGGGCTTGGGGCATATGGCAAAGCAGAGAGGGAATGGGGTGGGTGCCCCCGAGAAGCCCATCCCTCTGATTTCCGAGCAAAACTAGAACCAAAGCAGGGGAGTCCATAAAGGGAATAAGAAAAGACATCTACTTTTATATGTGCACTTAAGTATTTAGGTCAGTATTTTTAGAATAAATAGCCGTGGGTTGGTTCCTATCTTTTCACTTTCATTTTTCACACTTCAGCTTCATTTTCCTGACGCTGGGTAGCTGCAGAAGCGGTTGGATTTCTGCAAGCCCTCGCACCTCCCGGCACGCCGACCTCACTGCCTCTGGTTTCCCTCAGCCCCTCTATCCCATTCTTTTTCCTGGAGCCATCACTGCATGGTCCAAATCTCCCAGTTTTCATGGCTGATGGTGATAAATGGAAGGCTCGCCCCGCAGCCGGGCCATCCCACAGCGATGCTGCCTGGTTCCATCCCGCTATTAAAAGCAAAACCATCCAGAAGGGTCCTTCAGAGCAAAGCCGTCTTCCCAGGGAAACATTGGCAGCCTCGTTTGGCAGCAACAGTGCCTGGATTTGCTGAAGGCCTCCAAAATTAGATGAGGCTTGGAAACTTGTGATGGATGTCACTGCGGCAGCGTGGAGGGGGGGCTCCAGCATGGTGCTTCCCCCAGCCCGGGTGCTGCTCGGTGCCTGCTTGTCCCCAGGGCTCACTGCAGCACAGCACAGGCACACGCGGTGAGAAGCAGCAATCCCAGGGTGCTAAATGTGCTCCGCGGGGGCTGCTGTGATGTGCCAAAGCGATGGAGCTCCTCGTAAACACGCTGAGGATAGGAAACAAGCCCTCAGCGTGTCAGCAGGGAGCTGGGCAGGGGCTGCTCTGTCCCTGTGAGCTGGAGACACGGGGTGCTCTGGGGGCACAGCGGACAAGGAGCACTGGGGGCACACGCTGGGGCTGGGCTGTCAGCATGGCGTATCCCAAAACAAAGCTCCCCTCCTCCCCGGCTCCATGGTAGCGTCACCTCCAAGAGTTATTCACAGATAAACTCCATAAATTCGGGGCACAGCCATTTTATCACTGCTGGCAGCTCAGCGAGCTGCTTGCTCCAAGGTGAAGGCGAGGGAGGTGGGAGGAGATGGCAACGAGCTCCCAGCACAGCGAGGGGCACCGTGCAGGGCCGCATCCAGCCAGACCCTCACAGCCCAGCAGGGCTTTGTTGGCCAACGCGAAAGGCAGGGCAGAAAACCACCTCCTCTGCGTGGGATGATTTATTTTGCCACGCAGCTCCAGCCTGTTTTGCTGCATCATTCCCGGTGTTTTATTGCCTCCGGCCGGGGCTGCCGCCATCCGCCGTGCAGCACCCAGCCCTCAGCCCGGCGCTGCGTTGGCTCTGAACGCTGCCGGGCCCGCCCTGACCCCTGGGCCTGGAGAACAGCGGTGTGGATCGGTGTGGAGCGGGAAGGACGGCAGAGGCCAACCTGGGGCTTCGGATGGGGAACGATGCGCGAATCTCTGGGGCCGGGAGGGACACCCCACCTCCCTGCCTGACAGCACCGCCTCAGCTCGGAGGCAGCCACATTTCTCCTGCCAGCAGGGAACGGCCGAGGGCTTTCCCCGTGTGCGTGCGCCTGCAGGAGCCCGGCAGCACGGAACCAACGCGCGGGCACCGCCAACTGCTCCGCATCGCCAACCCAGAAGCTTTCTTTGTAGGAGGGAACGGGGGATGCCCCCGCCGGCAGAGTCCGGCAGCGAGGCATGGCTCCGGGAGCGCTGCGCTGCCCGTCGCTCCGTGCACAGCGGCGCACATCGGCGCACGTCGCTCCCTGCCCGCTCCCGGCCGCCCGCGCTCCCCCGGGGCCGCCCGCCCGCAGCGCGGCGCCGCACGGGGCGGAGCGGGGCGCGGAAGGGGCCTCTTGAAACCGCCGCGTTCTGATTGGGCCGAGCGCCCGCTCCGGCCCCGCCTCCCCGAGGCTCGCGGGGGCCGGAGCCGCCCGGCCCCCACCCCCGCCCCGGCCCCGCAGGCGGGCCGCAGCAGCCGGAAGGCCGCGCCTGGGCGGGCGCCACGCCGCGCCGCGCCGCGGGGAAGGAGGGGGGAGGCCGCGCCGCCGCTCGGAACAATGGCGCCCTCTGGCGGCGAGAGGTGGAACAGCGCGCTGCGGGTCCTGGGCCCGCGGGGCGAGCAGGAGCGGCTGCGGGGCGAGGAGAGGCGGGGGCCGCGCGCAGGGCGGCTCGGCGTGCGGGATGCCGCCGGCTCGTCCCATCCTCACCTCACCCTGCTGCGGTGCCGTGCCTCGCCCAGGCCACTGGGTCCCCCAGCTTTGTCACCGCGCAGTAATTAACGGAGTAATTAAGCAGCGCGGCCGCAGCTTCGTGCCCTGCCTCCGCCTCTACGCGCGGCCCTCGTTATTTACTCTTAACGATTTTACAGTATTTTAACACCAATCCCTGCGAAATTTCCCTCGTCCCAAAGAGAATAGCTGCTTGTAACCGCTTGCTAATTACAAGGAGGGATGTCAATTAATTCGTTTAGCTAATTATCCACTCGCTAGGCGCCGCGCACCGAGGGTCTGCGAGGGACGGGCGTGCGGTGCCGGCTGGACGCACCCTGCAGGGCCACGGCTGCGAGCTGTAATTACAGCATTGCGCTAATTGTGCTGGGTTGGGCGGCTTTTCGGAGGGAGCTGGGTGCGGGCTGAGCCCCGAGTGCCGCCTCGCCCCGCACCTCGCGGCCCCGAGCCCGACAGCAGCGCTCCGCCTGCCCTGCGCTGCTCCCAGCTCGTTGCCAATCGCCAGGCCCTGCTTCCTGCTGAATTCCTCGCGTTATTTCACTCCTGCCTTTCCAGCCGCAGCGTGTGAGGGCTTTGATCAGTGCCTCGTACCTCGATCACCAAATGTTCCCTGCTAAAAACACGCAAACAAAACACAAACGGAACAACGTCTCCCCAAGAGCCAACAGGCGGTGACACGGCGATTTGCATTTCTTTCCTTGTATTGGTAACTTTTTGTACCATCCCCATCGGGGCCGCTTCGTGCGCAGCAGCTCCGGGCTGAGAGCACGACCTTAAGAATTGCGCTGTGTTGAAGGGCTGAGCTCTGGCTGCTTCCCAAGGACGCAGGGCTGCCCGCTGCCGCCGAGCCCCGAGCTGCACGCAGGTGTCCGCACCCCTCCTCCTTCTCCCTCCCTCTCCTCCTCCTCCTCCTTGCATTCTTCCTCCTCCTCCTCCTTCTGCTCTTCCTCCTCCTCTTCCTTCTGCCGCCGCCACGACACGCTGCAAATGCTCAGCTTCTTCTGGCTGAGGTGAGGGCAGAGGGGATGCCCAGGGGGCGACGTGGGGACAGTGGCATGCGAGTGGGACCACGGAGCTGGCGCGGCAGGCGTGGGAGCAGTGCCTGCTCTGACTGGATCGGTGTTGGGAGAGGTTTGGGGCAGTGATCTGGGGGTGAGTTTGGGGTGAACCAAGACTCCTTGTGCTTAAAAGTGGACAAATACTCAGGAAAAGTGGGCAGTGTGGGCAGGTGGATTGTGTGGCAGCTCGACACTGCGGTGCTATGGACCAGAGTGAGCCCAGCTGTGATGGTCCTCATGGGGATGGTCCTGACTGTGGTGGTCTCAGCCATTGGGGTCTTGACCACAGCAGTCCTGGTGGTCTCTTCCCCAAGGAAGCCATGGGAGCAGGTGAGCATCTGCTCTGGGCAATGCTGTTGGATGTCCCCATGTTTGTGCAGTCTGACCCCTGCGCTGCTGGCACCTATAGGGGCTCACACAGCTCTGCTCCCTGTCTGGGCTGGTGGCAGCGGTGCTGGGGACCTTTGTCCCCCACTAAGCATTCAGAGGACTTTGTTCCCATGCTGGCCTCGTTGCCCATAGCCCTGGGGATGTACAGGAGCCATGGGAGGAGGATGAGGACGGAGGGTCCCAGCTATGCTCGCAGCACCAAAAGTTTCTCATGGCTGCAGGCATACAGCCCTCAGCAAAGGCATCCAGGTTATGCTTTCCGGGCTTGATACCTTGTTCTGCTCTGTGAAACCCCAGTGGAGGGCATGAAATGTGTTCCCCAAAAAACTCTTGCATGTATCTGACAGTTCCCTGTCCCCACTGTGCTGTCTGTCCCAACGTGGGCACAGCCTCTCCCACCGCCAGGCTCACCTCTCCCACTGCCCTGTTGAGGTGGTGGGATTTCCCAAAGTAGGTCAGGTTAATTTTTCAACGCGTGCTGATTTGCTCGTTACCATGGATATTGCTCAATTACACACCAATAATCCTCCCCAGAGAACTTCATTGTTGCTGCTTTCCTTCCCCCCGCTTTTTTCTTTCAAGATTCCCAGGAGTGGGTCAGGATGTGTCAAGGGGATGAAGCGGGAAAGAGAGAGCAAAGATGGATAGGGGAAATCTGGGCTGAGCTTTGGGGAATGCTCATCTGAGTCAGTGAGAGTGGGCACTGGAGGCTCAGTGTGTCCATGGCTACACTCTGCCCTGCCAGGACCCAGCACCATAGCCCCCCAGCATCAACCTGCTTTTTGGGGGTGGCTCAGCCAAACACCATGTTCCTGGGGCTCAAGGACTTGAGGATCCACGCAAAAGGAAAATGAAAAAGCATCTCTCTTTTCCTCTCTCGATCAATTGCTCCCAGTTCAACTCAGCTTGGCTTTGCAAGTGCAGCAGGAGGCAAGAGAAATATTCTTCCAAAGGGTTTTTCTTTTTGTAATGCAAACTTTATTTTTTTGGTAGAAGTGGGTCACTGGAGGGGTGACAGAGTAAGAGCATCATCGCCTGGGTGATACATCTTGTTGCCATGGTGACCTGGGGGCTGCATCAGTCAACAGCTTTAAACATTTGACAGCTGAGTAAGATGGAAGATTTTAATGAGGACAGACACTTGCTTGCTTAGTTTCAATAACCGAATTCTCTATAAATACCCTCGGTCTGAATGGCTGCAGGTCTCCAGTGTGCTGTGAGTAGTGTGGTTGGGCACTCCCCTTCCCCATGTGTTCCAGGGTAGCGAGTGTGTGCCCACATCCAAAACAGTTGAGGGATGCAAAGCAGGTGGCTCTTTATAATTCTTTTCCTCTCCTGCTCATGTTGGAACAAACAAGGTGACACGAGTGCAGTTGGGGAGCGCAGGCTTTGGGTTTCCAAGGCACGTGCTGGACCATGTGTCCTTGACATTGGTACCGTGGCTGTGGGGCGGGATGGGGCCACCCCCACCACTGCCTGCAACAAACCAAACCTGGGGAGCAAAGGCTGCTTGCTAGGAGCAGATGGACTCTTGTGCTGTGCTCTTGCTTGCAAGAGGTGAGCCATAAGCAAGCTCCCAAGGTTCAGCTGCAATCTGGAGAAGATGTGGGGCTTGGTTAAAGCAAAGCAAGGCACTGCTGGAGTGGAGACATCAATCAGGCATGGATATTGGAAAAAATTTGTTCTCATCCCTTGCAATGCCACCACCACACCAGGTGTTCCCAGTGCCTGCAGTGCTTCATTCTGGGCCCTGCGCAGAGGTGTGGCAGGGATGGGAGCTTCCCATTTGCTGCTCCGCTGGCAGCCAGGCACAGTGTGAGCCCCTCCAGTGCCAAGGGCATGCTCCTCAGGTCTTGTGACTGCACTGGTGACACTGTGATGTCCACACCTCCAAGCACAGCCTTCTGTCACATGTAACAGTGTGGAAAATCCTCAGGCTGACCCCTGTGGAATGGCAGGCTTGGGACCTGGCTCTGCCCTTGGGCTTTAGACCCGCAGCCGTCATGCTGGATGCTGTGTTAGAGAACAGGGCTGGGCTCCAGCTCTCCCTGTCCCTCTGGGGTGAGCTGTGGGGTTGACTGCGGCCAGGGCCACCCTGCGAGTGCTCTGTGCTGAGCCCTGCCGTCACCTTTTGTCTGTTTACAAGGTGCTGGCAGCTTCCTCCCCACGCTGCTGTGCTCCTACGCGTGGATTTAGCCAGCTCTTCCCAAACCAAATGGTTGTGTGCATCCCAATGCAGAGCGCTCCAGCACTTGGGTCTCTCTGTACTGCCTCGTTTCCCCCTTTATGGCAACGTCCCCACGTTCTGCCATCCCTCTTTTAACCCTAGCTGCTCTTCTCCTTTCCAGGTGTCTTTTAAAAATGGTCAAAGGGAACACTATAGTCCCTGAAGACATCCTGAGTTTCTGTTGCAATGGCCTCCAGGTACCCAGTGTGCTGTGCCAATAACCCTGGGGCTGCCGGCATGCAGTGCCCCATCCCTATTAACGTCCCCAGCCACTGAAATCATAACTGTGCTGCAGAAAGCTTTGGAGCTCTGCGTAGTGCTGGCTCACGCCCCAGAGCCTGCTGCCTTCCAGAAATAGCTGTGTCCTTGTGCGGTGGACACCCGGGGGGTTTGTGGGGGGCTCGAGGCTGCCGGGACGGGTGCCCCTTCCTTAGGGCTCACTCGCTGCCTTCGATAACCCGAGGTTTGTGCCATTCTTGGGATGCTTTGTACCAGTAGCTATGGAAACAGAAGGCTCCTGTTAGACCAGTGATGGAAAATGCTATTCTGAGAAGCGAAGTGGTGTTCGGTGAGCCTGGGGTAGGAGGGAAGGCTGTGTTCTGAGAATAAAGCATTTACAAAGGCAGCTGGAGAGAAGCAGAGGGGAAAGAAGCTGCTGCGAGTGGGATCTCGCAACAAGTGCTATAAATGGGGGACATTGTTAGAGCAGAAAGCGGAAGGAAGCGCTGTAATGAAGCCCAGACTGCTCTCATGGCTCCTCAATTACTCACAGGGTGCGCTGAGTTCAGCCCTTGTGTAACACGGCCCACTCCATGCTGAATCTTCTCTCCTGACAGCACAGCCACAATCACAGTCCTTCTAAAACACCACTCTGTGCCTGGTGAGCCAGGGGCCGGGCAGGAACAGTGCTGACCCCTGCATTCATAACATTTTATTCTTCTCTCCCCAGCGGTGCACTGCTGGAGCATCCTGTCCTGCCAAGGAAGGTTTCCTGGGAGATGTTTCTCCTATTTGTACAGAGCCGAGGAGCAGGTGCCCTCTGTGGCACCAACATTTGGGATGGGAAAAGCAAACGATGGGGTTCCAAGCATCGTGGTCCCCATGATCCCATCCCACAGACATGTTTGCTAATCAGGCTGGGTAATGAGCCATATCCCTCTCCTCTTCCCACAGGGCTCGACCTCACCGCCGTGCACCCAGGACACAGGGGAGCAGCAGGAGGAGGCTGCGGGGGCCATGGGTGGCCACAACCCCACCGAGGTGCAGATGAGCCAACTGGTTCTGCCCTGCCACAGCAATCAGCATGGGGAGCTCAGCGCCGGGCAGCTGCTCAAGTGGATCGACACGGCTGCTTGCCTCTCGGGTAAGCTGTGCCTGGGCATTTGTAGCCCATCAGTTTGGGGAGCTTGTCCTGCATGGGGAGGAAAATGTGCTGGTTGAGGATGCTTGCAGCAGTGTTTAGTGATGGAAAGGAAAGCAACAAGCAATGGCATCATCTCATGCGGACAGCAGGGGTGGAGGGAGAGGGCTGGGGTGGGGAGATGTGGGGCTGCGTGCGGGCAGCAGCGTGCCATTCCCTGCCTGCTGCCCACAGAGCTGACGGCAGCTGGGCGCCGTGCCATTCTGCTGAGTAATGGAGCAGCCAGCAGCAGGACAGGGGGAGGTGGCTCTGCTGCACACAGCTTCTTGGTCTGTCTGCTTCCCCCTAACCACTGCCTTCCCTGTGGCCTCCGTGCAGCCAAACCCACACCAATGAGACCAGAAAACGGGGGCAATTCTGCAGTTTGGAGATGCTTTTGTAGTCTAGAGGGGAGGCTAAGCCAGCAGCTGGCTTTACAGTAGTTGCTGTGTAGGGATAGATGGTATCAGTTGTTGTGCATTGCTGAGAAAGCATCATCAGGGCAGGGCAGACATTGAGGGTGATGTGGCCAGGAGCTGCCCCAGGGGTGAACCCTGGGCAAAATGTCTGCAGAACAGAGGTGGGGAAACCAAAAATGCTGCTGTTAGTGGGCACAGATGGGAAAAGGGCAGAGACGGGAGCAGGGTTTTGAGGTTGTTATCACCCCAAACATTGGGCTGGCAGCTCCGTATGCTGCTGCAGGCTGCTGACGCTGTTTGCTGTTCCTTCTCAGCTGAGAGACATGCTGGCTGCCCGTGCGTCACTGCCTCGATGGATGACATCTATTTTGAGCACACCATTAGGTAAAGGTGCCACTTTCTGCCCTCTACTCTTGGCTGGGTGTGGGGCTGAGGCAGAGCTGCGCTGTGCTGGAGCTTTCCTACTCATATGCCTTCCAGTGCCCTGCTGCCAGCCCAACTGGCTGCCAGGTCCTGGGCACATCTGCCCCTGGTGAGGCGCTGTTCAGGGTGCAGGGACCCTGTGGCCATCCCGTTTTCTGTTGCTATTGCCAGTAAGGCACATTTGCTCGTTTGGCACCTCAGCAAGGAGCTGCTCAGCACTGGAGCATGTGCTCTGCACACTTGTGGGACCTCGCCCTCCGCTCACCTCTTGTCCCTTCTCCTCTCTCTGTTTTCCAGCGTTGGACAAGTCGTTAACATCAAAGCCAAAGTGAACCGAGCCTTCAACTCCAGCATGGAGGTCTGTGTGCTGCAACCATGCTTTACCCCCTGTGTCCACCCTTGGCATGTTGCTGTCCCTGCCAGCTGCACCCTCTGTGCTGTGGCCACCTGCAGAGTACCTGCATACTGCTCTATTCTGTGGCTCGGGGGCTGTGCTGTCTGTTCTGCTCACTCTGGCTCAGCCTGGGGTGATGCTGCCTTTACACATGCACCTGCTCCTGCTTGGGCACCAAACTGCTCCCTTTCTCCTGTGCTTGGTTTCAAGATCCCAAACTACACTGGGCATCACTGTGCTTCACCCGCTGCTTTCAGCCCCCTCCTTTCTCAGGAGGAAACATTTGGGGTGAGGAACCCCTGCACGGGCTTGCAAAAACTTCCTGCTTTGTGCTGGTGGTGTTGGCTGAACATCAGTCCCTGCTACCCATACATGTGGCTCAGAGGCCCTGTGCTGTGCCCTCTGTCAGGTGGGCATCCAGGTGAGCTACGAGGACCTGTGCAGCGGGAAGCACTGCAGCATCTGCAAGGCTTATGCCACCTTCGTGGCGCAGGGTCCCCTAGGCACCAAGGTAAGTGCTGTGCAGCGAGCCCCGTGCCCAACCTGCAGGAAACCACTTCTGCAATAGGGGCTGGGGGCAGGTGGGGCTGTGCCTAAATTTTCCCAAGCCGTGGGGACATGGGCAAGCAGGAAGAGTCATTTCCCTCAACACAATCAACTCAGCCAAGCATGCAGAGCTTGCCTAGCTCTGCGTGGGACTTGGGATGCATGCCACCCCTTGGAACCCTACACAGGGCCCACCCCATCCATCGCCCACACCTAGGTGAAGCTGAAGCCGCTGACCCCGCAGACAGAGGAGGAGAAGATTGAGCACAGCATTGCTGCCGAGCGCCGTCGGATGCGGCTGGTGCACAAGGACACCCTCAAGGACCTCCTCACCCGCAACACCAGTAACACCGGTACTGCATGTCCACAAGGGAGGTGTGGGGTCAGGGGTGGGGGTGGCCGTGGCACTGAGCCCCGTGCTCCCTGGCAGAGATGGAGACGAGGGATGGCAGTGCGGTGGTGCCGGCTGAGAAGACGCGAGTGGAGAGCGTGGAGCTGGTGCTGCCGCCGCACGCCAACCACCAGGGCAACACCTTTGGTGGGCAGATCATGGCCTGGATGGAGAATGTGGCCACCATCGCAGCCAGGTGCCTGCAGGGGGAAGGGGCATCGGGGCGGGTGGGTGGGATGGGCCACAGCTGGGTGGTGGGGGCCTTCTGGAGATGGTGGAGTGACAGGGACTGGTACGCAGGGATGGCAGTGGGAGTTGGCAGTCCCACATGCACACAGTGGTGCTAGGGAAGGACAGGCACAGCTCCTACAAGGGTCCCCTGGCTCTGGCTGTGATGGGGATGGTGCATGGAGTGACACCTGCCCTGCAGCCGGCTGTGCCATGCCCACCCCACGCTGCGTGCCATCGAGATGTTCCACTTCCGCGGGCCGTCGCAGGTCGGGGACCGCCTGGTGCTCAAGGCCATCGTCAACAACGCCTTCAAGAACAGGTGAGTGCTGGTGGCAGCGCCTCTAGTCTTTCTCGTGGTTCCCCATGTCTCACCCCTTCTTCCCCCCCCCTCCCCCAGCATGGAGGTGGGGGTCTGCACCGAGGCCTATGACCAGGAGATGTCTGTCAGCCGGAGGCACATCAACAGTGCCTTCATGACCTTCGTGGTGCTGGACGAGGAGGGCCGGCCCCGCACGCTGCCCATGGTCGTGCCCCAGCCGGGGGTAAGGACAGCAGTCCCCCTGTAATCCCATGTCCCCGTGTCGCTGCTGCAGTGGCACACAGCTAACATCCATCCCTTGATCACAGTGCTGCTACCAGAGAGGCACTGACATCAGCTGATGGGCTCTTTGCCTTCTCCCAGCACACTGAAATAGCTCCCGGTTAATCTCTGGAGCACAGGGCTTCACCTTTCAGCCCTTTGCTGCTGAATGTTTTACCCACTCTACAAAATATATATTTTTTTCCTCCTTTTCCATTAACCTGGTGTGCTTTTCCCATTTATCAGGATGGAGAAAGGCGGTACAGAGAAGCCAGTGCTAGGAAGAAGATTCGGCTGGACCGGTGAGAGCAAGTGGGATACCGGGGTGGAGGGGGGAAATGGGAGATGGGAAGAAATGGGAATCTTCTTGCTTGGCACTGGGGAGCAGGGACTCCCCAGCTTTTGCCCTGCTGTAAGGAAAACTCTTTCCTGCAGGAAATACGTTGTCTCCTGTAAGCAGACGGAGGTGCCGCTGTCTGTACCCTGGGACCAAAGCAATAAGGTGTGTGCCTGCAGGTGGCACTGCCTCCTGCCTGTGTTTTGGGGATACCCCTGGCCCTGATATGCTGCTCTGTCACAGGTGTACCTGAGCTACAACAACGTCTCTGCACTGAAGACACTCGTAGCCAAAGCCAACTGGGTGCTGGCCAGGGAGAAGGAGAAGGTACAGCACTAACCCAAGTACTCTGAGCTGTGCCAAGAGTGCAGGCATGCTGGGTCCCATGCACGTCCCAGCCATACTATGTTTGTGCTCCCCAAGGTGCAGATCTACACGCTAGAGGAGGACAAGTTCCTCTCTTTCCGCATTGAGATGTCGGTGAACATCTCGGCCAGCCAGGCCTTCTCCCTGCTCTCCGACCTGCGGCGCCGGCACGAGTGGGACAGCCACTATGAGTGAGTGCTGCCGGGATGGCGTGGGAGCAGACGCCCGTCCCTTTCCAAAAGCACACCCTTTGGGCTTCCCTGGGACCTAGCATCTCACCCCAGAGCTGTTTGCATGCCTTGAACAGTGTGTTCCCATCCCTGGGGTTGATGGCACTCTGTGCACAGCAGCTCTCACCGCCCATTGCCGTTCTCTCTCCCGCCCGCAGGAGTGCCGAGCTGGTGCAGCAGGTGGATGAGGATGATGCCATCTACCACGTGCTGAGCCAGGCACTCAGCTCTGAGAACAAGCCGCAGGACTTTGTCATCCTGGCCTCCCGGCGGAAACCCTGCAGCAGAGGGTAAGCAGTAGGTGATGTCTCTGTCCCCATCACCTGGGCTGCACCCCACTCACCCTGCTGTCCCCTGCCAGGGACCCCTACGTGGTGGCCTTTCGGTCGGTGACGCTGCCCACGCACCCTGCCAGCACCAACTACACACGGGGTGAGACGCTCTGCTCTGGCTTCTGTGTGTGGCCGGAGTCAGAGGAGATGAGCAAGGTGAGGGCTGTGGCCATGCTGTGCACTGCTGGGGTGTTCAGCCTCCGTGCCCAGCCGTGACACCCGTCTCCTGCTCATCACAGGTGGCTTACTACAACCAGGCGACGCCCGGGTACCTCAACTATGTCACCACCAACGTGGTGGGGCTGTCCTCCAACTTCTGTGCCACCTTCAAGGCCTGTGAGAAGTTCCTGTTGAAGAACAAGGATGACCTTATTGCACTGCTGCAGGACCTCTAGGCCTGGGGCTTTGCTGTTATCCATGGACAGACGTGGTCTTGCAAAGAGGGGTGTGGGGACAGAGTGGTGGCACTCAGGCCGTGCCTTGCTGGGGCTTTGGCCTGAGCAAGGTCAGTGAGATGGGGACGGAGGGGTGTCACAGGGATGCACCATCTTCATACTGATACTTCCAGTCCTCTTTTTTTTCCCCTAATTTTATAAGCTGCTGAGTAGGACTTGAATTTTAGTTCAACTAATGCTACTTGATTCTTTGTACAATCCCAACTCTTCCTAATACTGATTTTTTTAGTTGTTTCTTAATGAGAGAAACTTTTTTGTAGTGGTGTGGATAGGGACTGTGCTGGGGGATGCGCTGCTCCACTGCCCCAGGCTGCAGGGCAGGGCTGGGGCACGACCACACTGCCCCTTGGCTCTCACCCAGAGTGGGGGGAGATGCACCTGCAGGGTGGGAAATGGGCTACTTGTGCACCCACAACAGGGCTGTCAGGTTTTCTCTGTTCCTGCGAGGAGAAGGTTGGCTGCCACCATGTCCCTGCCTCACATTCACTGATTTGGGTTCCCAACCCAAGATGCTGATGGGATGCCCACACTGGGCTGAGATCCCAATCCCATCACACTGCCCTGCAGTCCTGCTGCTGACTACAGCTCTGCGTGGAAGGAGTGGCAATAAAAGCACATCAGAAGTAAAAACCTTTACCTGCCTGAAGGTCTGCTTTGGGGGCTGTGGTGCTGCTGCCCTGGCAGTTAGATCTGTACCGTACCTTGAATTATAGTCATCCCCTGTGAGCCTCCACCTCCCCTGCCCTCTTATCACCACCAGATAAAGCTGTTTCAAGCTAAACATGGCATGAAACACTCAGTTTTTACAGTGACTCCTTATCTCCCAAAACTCAGGGCAATCCTGCCTCTTTATCACCAGGACTCGAGCCATCCTTCCAACTTATCTGCAGGAATGGCTGCTGCTTGATTAAGTGCACACAGTGATGTATTCACCCCAATGCTGAACTTTGACTGACCTCTCTCCTTCCCAAAGCACTGTACTTTTTAATGCTTGGGGTGGAGGTTTTGGGGTGCAGGAGCCAGAGCAGGATTCCCCAGAGAGGTCCCCACCTGGGTGACTGCAGGAACGGTGATTTTGGGCCATGATGCTGCAGCTGAATTGAGCAGTAATTCCAGCTCAGCACCGAGCTGGGGGGTGGCTTGGCTGACACAGAAGGACCCAGTCCCAACCAGAACACAGTGCTGAGCAATGCAGAGCCTTCCAATGCTGTCAACTGCTGCAGCTGGTCTTCCTGCCCCCCTCCTGGGGAGTGCAGATCTGTGTGAGCTCTGTGGCTGGTAGGTCCCTGCACTTGGCCTGAGAGGGGCTCTCCCCCACAGGGTTGATGATGGGCAGTTGCCTCTCACTTGTGCCCGAAGGCATTCACCACATACCACCCCTGAGCTGTTCAGCAAAGAGGAAACAGCCCAGGTAGAATCGGAGTCATTAAAGACCATCTGGTCCCATTCCCTGCAATGAACAGAGACACCCACAGCTCCATCAGGTGCTGAGAGCCCCATCCAGCCTGACCTTGGATGCCCTTGGGATGGGGCATCTCCCCAGTTTTAGTCTGAAACCATTTCCCCTTGTCCTACCACAACAGGCCCTGCTAAAGAATCTGTCTCTTTCCTTCTTACAGCCTCCCACTAGATACTCACAGGCTGCCCTCAGGTCTTCCTGGAGCCTTCTCCAGACTGCACAGCCCCAGCTCTCAGCCTATCCTCGTAGGAGAGGCGTTCCATCTCTTGGATCATTTTTGCATCCCTTTTCTGGATGCACTTGAACAGGTCCATGTCTCCCATGCACTGAGGACTCTATATCTGGATGCAGTACTCCAGATGAGGCTTCAGAAGGGCAGAGCAGAGGGGTGGGATCACTCCCCTGACCTGCTGGCCATGCTGCTCTGGATACAGCTCAGGATACTGCTGTAACATGCCAACTGGCTGCCTCAGCCCCAATCCCTTCCTCCACTGAGTCCCACTTCATTCTGCTCCGCTGGGGCTGGCTTGCAAACAGTGCTGAGGTCCACATGTGGCTTTGGTTAAAAGCAAGCAATTAGCATCCAGACTTCAGCAAGCTTTGCATGTAAGAGGGGTGGGGGAAGAAACCACACACAGCAGCTGCTTACAGCAGGCTCTCTTCCCCTTGTAGATCATCATCATCTTTTTTTTTTCATTGCTGCCTCCATGCTGAACATGCAAGGGTTTGGACAGGCCATCTCCAACACCATGACAGCCATGCACCCCATGGAAGGCAGCCACAGGAGGTCAGGCTGGGTGCAAGTCCTGCACGTGTGCCACCAGCTCATCCCATACCGTATCCTTGCTCTGCAACACTGCTGCTTGACCTGCACTGAGCCAAGTCTGTCCTACTGACTGCCCACCTCTCTACCTTGTGAGTGTGGCTGCAAAGCAACCCTGTTGATATTTTTTACTGTATTTGTGCACAGTGCAGTAACTCAAAAATAGCAACATGGAATTCTGTTTACTTTCTTAGAGCTGCCTGAACGCAGCACTGGACAGAGAATAATCCTCCATGCTGTAAGCAGAAGTTTTGATGGCTGAAGAGCTTTTCTGTTGCTCTGTGCACTTACTGTTCTTAAAACTGCAGCCGCTGCTCACCCGGGCAGCTCAGGGAGAAAGAAATTAGAGTTAGAATTATTTTTAATTATAAGCTCCTACAGAAGCACAGATGATCCTGTATGTTGGCACTACAAGTTAACTGGATGGATAAAACTGTTATGTTCGAGCTCAGAATTACTGTCAGAATTCACTTTCAGTATTTCATACGGTGAGAAAAAAGGATCACCTCATTTATTAGACAGGAATCAGCCTGCTTAAAATAGACATGTCTAGCTCCAGTTTATGTAGGTAGCAAAAGAGTCAGTAAAACACGCTGCTCCAGACAAAGAGCTCTGCTCTCCCCTGGCCAGCAGCAGCTCTGAGCAGTGAAAACCAGCTGCTGCTAATCCTCAGAGCTGCAATGGCCCATGCAGGAGCCCAGCTGCACTCAGCTCGTGGCAGCAGGCAGGTAACTCACCCCAGAGCACTGCTATTAAACCCTGGCAACTACAGCCCTCCTCGCAGGAAATCAGTGATTTTTCACAGGTAAGTACATTCCCAGCTGCTGTTGCTTCAGCTGCAGCCAATGTCTGGCACTGTTTCAGGTTTATTTCAAAGCCCCATGCAGCCTGTCATAGAGGAGACCTTCTGCAAGCCAGCTGGATTTCTATTTAAACAAATAATCCCCTCTTGTAAGCCCTTCATTCTCCTTCTACGCTTCTTTGCTGGAAGTTTCTGTGTGTGCCAAGACTATTTCTCCCCTGAAGTGTGCAAGGCATTTCTGTGCAAGCAGAAGTTTGCTGTCTGCAGCCGAGATAGAACAGCAAGCCCTTGCACATGATTCCTCGGTTCCTTCTTGCTCATTACAGCCGATGCACCTTCTTGCCACTGAAATACTTCTTAGAGAAGGGAGAACTCTTCACAAAAGCCAGCACTGCCGGAGTCCCCGCCTTTACAAAATACCTGCAAGATTAAAGAGAGTCCTCTAGCTTCCCTCTGCCTGGCCAAGCATCATGCAAGCAGCTTTTGCCCAGCACAGCACAGCCTGACCTCCCGAAGGATGACAGGCTGCTTTTGATGATCAGCAGAGCCTTTCAGAGCCAGGGCTACCCTTAACCAAGGAGCAGCATTATGAATCAATGATTCTCCCAACAACCACCCCTAATTAAAATAGAGAGCTGTTGTTCTGTCCCTGGAAAGAGGTTTCTTTTGCAAGTGCCCTTACAGCTTGAAAAATCTGAGGGCTTATGCACACTGCTGAGTTTTATGGAGTGCCAGTTCAGACAGTCCACAGCAGCAGAGCTCGAGCTCTGCTCCCCCTGTGACAGACCATTCTGCTGGAGCTGTGCTGCAGGCATCCCCAGCCAGCTACAAGCTGCTGCAAGTTAACAGCACCAGCTCTACAATACTTTTTTTGGTTTCTCAACAGCAGACTCTTTTCTCTAAACAATGGCACAGTACTTGAAAGTCAATTTCAGAGACCGAAACTGCGCTGCATGCTGTGCTGGGGACTGCTCACACAGCATTCTTAACAGTGAGAGCATTGTTAACCTTCAACACGCTCTCTTTACACACTGCTGCTGCCTTTTTATAAGTAGCACCGTTTAGATGGGTATAAAACAGCCCCTCTAGTGCTGCTGCTTGTGTGTAGTCCCATTTCCCTCCCACCTCCACCTAGTCCTGGAGAGTTGTGCATTTTTTTGGGGAGGGAAGGAACACTAATCACCAAAGCAGGCACAAAAACCATGTGGCCCTGGTGCTCTACACCTCCCCCCCATAGAGCAAGTGCTATTAAATCAGAAGGAAAAAACTGCACTTAAAGCCCAAAGTCTACTCTTTCTAGAGACATGCAGGTAGAGCCTCACCTTTGGTGCTGCAGCACTTGTAGCAATGTGTGTGCTGGGTTCAGCTCATACATTTCTGCTCTTTCTTCATCTTCAAAATAGAGCTGAGGAAATTTGGGAGAGTTACATGCTTAAGCCATATGAGGACGAACTACTAAGTCCAGTAAGAGCACAGCACGCAACTCATAGAGGTTTCACAAGTTTCTCTACCTTGAACTGACTGCATCAGACACTAATTTAAGCAGTGCAGTCCTCTATATATATTCAAAGTCTTTCTGGCATAAACCAGCTTGCTTTCTGACAGCGGTGGCAGCAGGCACACAATTTCTGCCACAGACATGGTCCTTTAGTACCTGACTGCTTGCTGCACTGCAGGCTGCCCAGTGTATGCCACACTGAGGTGGAAAATGAGACAGCACCATCTACACTTCTTTATGTACAGTGCACCAGCTCCCTGGCCTAACTCTCAGTTACTCTTTTGATTCCTAATTTCCTAACAGTATCTGTAAATACCTTATATTTCACACACGCTGTGTATGATAGAAAGTACTTTCATTTTTGTTAATAAGCTCTGCCTATATAAACTGAACATTTTCCAGATGTGCTGACGAGTGAATGTAGCTCTCCAAATCACTATTTCACAGCCATGGGTGGTGAACAGGTAATTATGCTATTGCTTTCATACACACACAGATGCTTAGTCTCACTTCAGAGAAAAAAACAAACACCAAAACCAACCAAGCAACATTTCACAAATCAACACACTCAAAAGTCCAGTTTCTCACCTGGAGATTGCTGGGAAGGTACTTTCTTTCTAAATCCCAAGGAGGTAACTCAGCAAACATCACCATTAAATGATCGATAAATCTAAAAGCCAGAACACACATTTTAGCTTAGCATTCAGCCTGGTCTTTACAATTGGCACATGAAAGACAGTAAAAATACATCAGCAAATTAGGCAATAGACTTGAAAATAGATTTAGATCACTGTAAAAACAAATAGCTTCTTCTCTTTAAACTCACTGCTTTCTCAATGAGACCATACCCTACTACAACTCATACCAATGGTTTTAAACTTGAACAGTGCAACAGCAAGTTGCTTTTAATTTCCATTTTCACAATACAGAAGGTGTAAAAGCAAGCACTGTGCATTTCTTTCACAATTGATTTTTCATCTGCAGGGTCTCAACAATGCCATGCTTCACCACATCAGTGCTCAGAATACATCTGTATGTCAGCTGGCTGTTTATT